GCAACAAGGGATATACCAACAAGTGCTGGATGAATTACACACAACTGAGGAGGAGGTGGAGAAGCTCCTAAGTGACCTTGATGCCTCAAAGGCGGTGGGACCAGACAACATCTCTCCGTGGGTCCTTAGAGAGGGAGCAGGGACACTATGTGTGCCACTAACCAAAATCTTCAACACTTCCCTTGAAACTGGGTAACTACCTGAAGTATGGAAGAAGGCAAATGTAGTCCCCATCTTTAAGAAGGCAGACAGAAATGAAGCCCTAAATTATAGACCAGTGTCACTGACGTGTATAGCAAAGTCTTGGAAAAGACTATCGGGAAGAGAGTGGTGGAGCACCTGGAGTGGAACAAGATTATAAACGACAGCCAGTGCGGATTTATGGAAGGCAAATCCTGTGTCACAAACCTACTAGAGTTTTATGACAAGATAACTGAAGTAGGAAATGAGAGGGAGGGGTGGGTTGATTGAATTTTCTTGGACTGCAAGAAGGCTTTCGACATAGTTCCTCACAAGAGATTAGTACAGAAGCTAGAAGAACAGGCACGTATAACAGGAAGGGCACTGCAATGGATCAGAGAATACCTAACAGGGAGGCAACAGCGAGTCATGGTCCGTGATGAGGTATCACAGCGGGCGCCGGTGACGAGCGGGGTCCCACAGGGGTCAGTCCTGGGACCAGTGCTATTCTTGGTATATGTGAACGACATAGCAGAAGGGATAGACTCAGAAGTGTCCCTGTTTGCAGATGACGTGAAGTTAGCGAGGTGAATTAAATCAGACGCAGACCAGACAGGTCTACAAAAAGACCTGAACAGGCTGGATGCGTGGTCCAGAAAGTGGCTCCTAGAATTTAGCCCCGCTAAATGCAAAGTCATGAAGATTGGAGTAGGGCAAAGCAGACCGCAGACGGAGTATAGGCTAGGAGGCCAAAGGCTGCAAACCTCACTCAAGGAGAAAGACCTAGGAGTGAGTATAATACCGAGTACATCTACAGAAGCACACATTAAAGAGATAACTGCTGCGGCATATGGGCGCTTGGCAAACCTGAGAATAACGTTCCGGTACCTCAGTAAGGAATCGTTCAAGACTTTATACACTGTGTACGTCAGGCCCATACTGGAGTACGCAGCACCAGTTTGGAACCCACACCTGGTCAAACACTTCAAGAAATTAGAGAAAGTGCAAAGGTTTGCAACAAGGCTAGTTCCAGAGCTAAGGGAAATATCCTATGATGAAAGATTAAGGGAAATCGGTCTGACAACACTGGAGGACAGGAGGGTCAGGGGAGGCATGATAACGACATACAAAATACTGCGTGGAATAGACAAGGTGGACAGAGACAGGATGTTCCAGAGATGGGACACAGAAACAAGGGGTCACAATTGGAAGCTGAAGACTCAGATGAGTCAAAGGGATGTTAGGGAGTATTTCTTCAGTCATAGAGTAGTTAGGAAGTGGAATAGTCTGGCAAGCGATGTAGTGGAGGCAGGAACTATACATAGTTTTAAGACGAGGTATGATAAAGCTCATGGAGCAGGGGGAGAGAGGACCTAGTAGCGGTCGGTGAAGAGGCGGGGCCAGGAACTGAGTCTCGACCTCTGCAATCACAATTAAGTGAATTAGGTGAGTACATGTATGTGCACCTGTGACGAGCGGGGTCCCACAGGGGACGGTCCAAGGACCAATGCTATTTTTGGTATACGTGAATGACATGATGGAAGGGATAGACTCAAAAGTGTCCCTTTCACAGATGATGTGAAGTTAATGAGGAGAATTAAAACAGATTAGGATCAGGCAGGACTTCAAAGAGACCTGGACAGGCTGGACACCTGGTCCAGCACCTGGCTTCTCGAATTTAACCCCGCCAAATGCAAAGTCATGAAGATTGGGAAAAGGCAAAGAAAACCGCAGACAGAGTATAGGCTAGGTGCCAAAGACTGCAAACCTCGCTCAAGGAGAAACATCTTAAGGTGAGTATAACACCGAGCATGTCTCCAGTAGCACACATCAGCAAGATAACTGCTGCAGCATACGGGAGCCTGGCAAACCTGAGAATAGTGTTCCGATACCGATGTAAGGAATCTTTCAAGACGCTGTACACCGTTTATGTCAGGCCCATACTGGAGTATGCAGCACCAGTTTGGAACCCACACCGGGTCAAGCACGTCATGAAATTAGAGAAAGTGCAAAGGTTTGCGACAAGGTTAGTTCCAGAGCTAAGGAGAATGTCCTACGAAGACAGGTTCAGGGAAATCAGAAGGACGACACTGGAGGACAGAAGGGTTAGGGGAGACATGATAACGACATACAAAAATACTGCGTGGAATAGACAAGGTCGACAGAGAGAGGATGACCAAGAAAAGGCTATGGACCCAGATTGCTGAGATGTGCAGACCAGCTAGCAGCACCTCTAACTCGCATCTTTCAGCACTGCCTAGTACAGTGTAAATGGACTTCTCTGTGGAAAGAGGGCAAATGTAGTCCCTGTTCACAAAAAGAGGAGCAGAGCAGAAATCAGCAACTACAGACAAGTGTCACTCCTGTCAGTCACTGGCAAACTCCTTGAGACAATAATCTCAAGACAAATGACACAGTTTTTTGACTACCACTCACTACTTTGTGATCGTCAATATGGCTTCAGGAAAGGTTATTCTCTGCTGATCTGTTTTTAAAAACCTTTCTCCAATAAGTGGCACCGTCATATGAATCCAAAGTCCCGCTGGTGGTAGCACTGGACATTGCTGGTGCTTTCGACCGGGTGGGGCACCGGGGCCCTCTTAGCAAAACTGCAAGCTCGGAATTCGGGCCCTTTTACGCTATGTTTCCTCGTGTTTACCTTATGGTAGATCTCAAGGGAGTTCTAATGGAAAGAACAGCAAAACATCCTATTGGGGCAAGTGTTAAAAAGGGAAAGGTTTTCTGGGACCATTGTTAGGGAATGTGGTTCAATGACATTTTTCATCTAACCCAGAACCCAGCATTGCAGACGAGTACCTGACATTTACTTATCAAGGGAAAAAAAAATGCCCCCTGTTTCAAGCTACATCAACCCATAAGACATCTCAGCTGGGGAAAATAGATGGCAGAAAATAGTTGCCCTGAGAAAACAAAAATAATAGATCTTACACCATGAGGTAATGGGGTGCAGTAGTAAGGTGAAGGAGGGTGTTGGCACCTGAGGAAGAAGTTGTATCTTGGGGTGAAATTTACTCCAAACTGCCCAAAAAAACCACGTTTAAATCTTGCAAACAAGGCAGCCAGGAATTTTTCAGCCTTTCCCCCGTATCTCGCAGCATTGCTTGCAGCAGGGTTTCAAATTTGTATGGCCCCAAAAACGCTCCCCACCTTGATATGCTCCACTTTTTTGGTTTGCCCCCCCCCCCCCCCTCTCACTGTGACTGCTTGACAGAGTAAAAAGAACAAGCAAAACGTCTCATTTCTCGCCCGGACCATTTGGGTGACTGCATTTCAGCAGAGCCTTAAAAATAGGAGGGATGGGGGCCTTTCTGTTATGTACAAGCCAATGTTGTCCCCAAAAAACCTACCCTCGGGACTCGTGAAGCAGCTTCTAACCACAAACGGCAGCCCGCAGCAATTCACTCTGGCTGTACTCTTTCCAGAAAATCACTTCGCCCGAATATTTACCAGGGTGTTAGTCTGGAAAAAACTTCTACAGCTTTTTAGTCACGATAAGCATTTTTAGATGAAGATGCTGGCCCACAGAGTCCAACTTTAAACCCGTTCCCTATTGCATGTTTAAACAATAAAAAGCTTTCAAAAGACTGATTAGGAACAGCTCTTGCTTGTCATTAGTTAGGTCCTTAAACCCCCGGTGCTTTAAAAAGTGGGGTTTTAAACTATTCTTTCCGTGTTTTAAAAAAAAAAGGTTGGAAGTTGAAAGGATCCTGTTTCCCGGGGATTAAGAGGCTGAAGGGCAAATGGGTCTGGGAAAGAGTGTGAGGGGCTTAGTTTTGGGGGAATAGGGTTTAGCAGGGGGGGGAGGCCCCCTTTCTCGGTGAGAGGCCCGGGGGGAGGAGCTGGCTCCCACAATGCCCCCACATTTACAATGGGATTTTTCAAGTTTAAATGGGAGGGGCTGGTGGAAAATTAAAAAAAAGTGAAAAACCGAAGGTAGGAAAGGGGTTTCGTTCTTCAGGAGAAGATTATGGCCAGGGGAAGAAAGGGTACCCTTTTTGCCCTGCTAATGGAGGGAAGGCATCCCTTTTTGGGGGATTCAGGTAAAAATTTTTCCGGGGTAAAAGGGGAAAAAAAAATTGAGAAAGGTTGGTTTCCCCGGGGGCTGGTGTTGGGGGACAAAGCAAAGGCGGTAAATCAGTAGGAAGGGAAAAAGAATCCCAGGGTGAAAGATATGGGGAATTTGGGGAAGAGGGTTTTGAAATAATCAGTAAAACAAAAACTAAGGGAGGGGGCCCAATCATATGTAGCATCTTGCCTAGAAGGGAGTAGGAAATGAATGGTTGTCTAGGGCAATTGGTGTAAATTGCTGGCTAGACAGATACTGCAAGGAACTTGCAATCCCATTCATTGACAACTGGAACAACTTTTATGGCAAACATGATATGTATGCAAGGGATGGGGTACATCTCTCTGGGGCATGGGTGGTAGCACATGCAGACTCGATTGAGAAGGCCATTGGTGAAATGCCTATGATTTTAAAACTGATGAAAGATAGAGGTATGGGTGTGTGGGAAAACAAGCAGGTTGCAACACTAGGGTTGGAAACAGTAAATGTATAAAAGGCATTCAGCATGAAGTTATAAATAAAGACAATAGATCAGGTCAGCAAACAAAGGGGGACAGCAGAGGCAGCAAGGGACTAGCTCCCTTAAGTTTACTATACTAATAGCAGGAGTGTAAGAAATAAGATAGATGAGCTAAGATTAATTGCAAGTGCAGAAACATAGATATTATTGCTATAACAGAGACCTGGCTCAATCTGAAAGATAGAGAGATGCCCTCTGAATGTCACATACAAGGCTATAAATTATTCCACACTTGACAGGGTCAACAGGAAAGGTGGTGGAGTAGCGATGTATGTCAGAGACAATTTAAATTGTTGTGTTAGACAAGATATTAAATTAGAAGCATCAGCCACTGAATCTGTTTGGTTACAGCTTCTCGAGGGCCGAGAAAAACTAATTTTGGGTGTGATTTACAGGGCCCCAAATCTTGATAGGGAGTGCAGTAAACTTCTATGGGACGAAATTCGTAAGGCATCTACATACGAAAATGTTGTGCTAAGGAGATTTCAACTATAGACAGATTGACTGGAGCAATTTGACAGGAAATTTAGAGTCAGGTGACTTTCTTGATACGATCCAGGATTGTTTTTTAAAACAGTTTGTGACAGAGCCTACTAGGGGAAATAACCTCCTTGACTTGGTTCTTGCCAGTAGGGAAACACTAATTAATAATCTTGAGGTTAATGATGAGCTTGGGGAAAGTGATCACAAATTACTCAGTTTTAATATATCATGGAATTCAACTAATAATGGCAATCAAGTCTCCGTCCCTGACTTTCGCTTGGCTGATTTCATAGGACTGAAAAATTACTTAGGTGGGCTGAACTGGAATGACCTGACTAAGGGTCAGGTAGGTGGTGATGGTTGCCGATATGATGCTTTCCAGGGCATAGTTCTAGCTGCTCAGTCAAATTATGTTCCAAATAGGGAAATCAGATCAAACAAAAATGATCCTAAATGGATGAACAATAGATTAAAATATCTGATTGGTCAAAGAGAGGCATATATAGGCAAATCAAAAGAGGAGAGGGGCAATTAAGAAATCGATATATTCAGTTAAAGAGAGAAATAAAAAAGGGAATTAAAAAAGCAAAAAGAGATTATGAGGTTAAAGTTGCAAGAGAATCGAAGACTAACCCAAAAGGATTCTTTCAGGTATACAGAAGTAAGATCAGGGACAAGATAGGCCCACTCAAAAGTTCCTCGGTCAGCTCACTGACAGTGATAAAGAAATGTGTAGAATTTTAACACATACTTCCTCTCAGTTTTTACACAGGAGGATACCAGCGATATTCCAGTAATGATAAATTATGTAGAACAGGACGAGAATAAACTGTGCACGATTAGGGTCACGAGTGACATGGTCCTTAGGAAAATAGATAAATTAAAACCTAACAAATCCCCAGGCCCTGATGAACTGTATGCAAGGGTTCTAAAGGAATGTAAAGAGGAGCTTAGCACACCTTTGGCTAATCTTTTCACATATCACTACAAACGGGCATGGTGCCAGATAAGTGGAAAATGGCAAATGTGATACCTATTTCAAAACAGGTGACAGGTCCTTAGCTTCGAACTATAGACCAATAAGCCTAACCTCCATAGTGGGAAAATTTATGGAATCAATAATTGCCGAGGCAGTTCGTAGCCACCCTTTTAAAAAACATAAATTAATCAACGAATCTCAGCATGGTTTTACAAAGGGGCGTTTCCTGCCTTACGAATTTATTAACTTTTTTCACTAAGGTATTTGAGGAGGTAGATCATGGTAATGAAATATGATATTGTGTATATGGACTTCAGTAAGGCTTTTGACAGGGTCCCACATCAGAGACTATTGAGGAAAATTAAAGCACATGGAATAGGAGGAGAAATTTTTTCCTGGATAGAGGCATGGTTGACAAATAGGCAGCAGAGAGTTTGCATAAATGGGGAGAAATCAGAGTGGGGAAGCGTTACGAGCGTGTTCCACAGGGGTCAGTGTTGGGCCCCCTGCTGTTCACAATCTACATAAACGACATAGATGAGGGCATAAAGACGACATCGGCAAGTTTGCCGATGACACCAAAATAGGCCGTCGAATTCATTCTGACGAGGACATTCGAGCACTCCAGGAAGATTTGAATAGACTGATGCAGTGGTCGGAGAAGTGGCAGATGCAGTTTAATATAGACAAATGCAAAGTTTCTAAATGTTGGACAGGACAATAACCATGCCACATATAAACTAAATAATGTAGATCTTAATATTACGGATTGCGAAAAAGATTTAGGAGTTCTGGTTAGCAGTAATCTGAAACCAAGACAACAGTGCATAAGTGTTCGCAATAAAGCTAATAGAATCCTTGGCTTCATATCAAGAAGCATAAAAAATAGGAGTCCTCAGGTTGTTCTTCAACTCTATACATCCTTGGTTAGCCTCATTTAGATTATGCTGCACAGTTTTGGTCACCGTATTACAGGATGGATATAAATTCTCTGGAAAATGTACAAAGGAGGATGACAAAGTTGAATCCCATGTGTCAGAAACCTTCCCTATGAGGATAGACTAAGGGCCCTGAATCTGCACTCTCTAGAAAGACGTAGAATTAGGGGGGATATGATTGAGGTGTATAAATGGAAGACAGGAATAAATAAAGGGGATGTAAATAGTGTGCTGAAAATATCTAGCCTAGACAGACTCGCAGCAATGGTTTTAAGTTGGAAAAATTCAGATTCAGAAGGAAAAGGGAAATACTGTTTGGTAATAGATTGGGGTGTTTGGGAAAAAACTCCCGAGTCAGTTAAGAGCCAGAACGTTGTGTACTTTAAAAAAGGTTGGATAAATACATAGGGGATGTGGGGGGGGTGGAGTTGGACTGAAAGCTTGTGCTACCGGCGGTTCCTGTTCCCCCCTTTTGTCCAATTGACCTGACCTGACTATTTTGGGGCTTTGGGTTTAAACCGGTGGGAGACTGGCCCTGCCTCCATGGGCCAGTAGGCCTTCGCAGTTTTCCTTCGTTCTTATGTTCTTATGTCTTAAAAGTTTAGGAATCCTTAACCTGTAAATAGCCGTAAATAAAGCTGGGATCCTTAACCTAATTTTGGGGCAAACATTGGTAAAAAAAAAAAAAAGGTCACATTTGGGAAGTTGAAGACTCAGAGATTCAAAGGTTTTTGGGAGGTATTTCTTCAGCACAAAGTACAAAAGTGAACACCCCGGGGAGTGTGTGGAGGCAGGAACCATACAAGTTTTAAGACGAGATGAAAAACTCATGGAAAAGGAAGAAGGACCTAGTACGTTCGTGAAAGGCGGGCCAGGAGCTGAGCCTCGACCCCTCAACCACAATTAGGTGAGTACAAAAAGGATTTTCCTTTCCTAAATTTTCGGGGAAAGAGAACGGTGGGAAAATCATAATGAAAGAGGAACACATGACAACGAAATGCGATAACAGGAAAGGTTCTTTTCTCAAGGACGACAGAAATAAAAAAGACCTGAACGACCCTTTGGGTTCCCCCAAAAGGGTGCAGAGACCAAAAGTATGCGCTAAAGAATGGAAAAAGTAAAGAAGAAAAAAAGACCAAAAAACAAGCCAAAAGGGGGAATTTTGAAAAGATAAGAAGAGGGGCCCCAGGGGCAAACAAAATACTATCAGGGAGAGCCAGTCTATCCCAACTGTGTACAGCCACATCAGGAAGAAAACAACACCCAAAAGGGGAAAGGGAAACAGGATGGGGAAGGAAGGGGGGAGATCCCAGAAGGACCCAGATAAGGAAAAGGTCACATAAATTTTAAGGGGAAGTATTTCAGTAACAGAAAGGACCCCGGGAAACGGTTTGGTGGGGACACAACAAGTGCAGGAACAATACCAAACCGAGGAGGAAAAAGAGGCGCTAATAAAACTAGACCCTCGAAGGCAGTGGGACGGAAAACTTTTCTCGCGATCCTGAAAAGGGGGCCAGCCGCGTGGGGCCCACAAAAAACAACTTCAGCACATCTAGAAATAAGGCGACTGCCTGGGGTGTGGAAGCATCAGTGAAACTGACATCATATATGCTGTAAATTATCAAATAGAGCGGTAGAGTACCTAAAAGAAATGAGCTTGACACAAAATCAGCACGGTTTCGGGGGAAAGGAAATCTTGTGTCTAAAACCTCTGGATTTTTACAATAAGGTGATGGCAGTTTAAAAAGAGAGAGAAAAGAGAGAGAGAGAGAGAAGAGAGAAGGGATGGGAAATTGCTTTTTCTTGAACTGTAAAAAAGGCTTTCGACACAGCTCCAGACAAATTAGGCAAAAGCTAGAATACAGGGAGGTATAAAGGATACACTGCATGGATCAAGAATTCCCCACGAAGGCAACAACGATCATTGTACGTGACAGGGGTTTAGAAAGGGCACTTGTGATAACGGGTTCCCAGGGTCAGTCCAAGGACTGGTACTGTTCTGGCTAGTGAAAACACGTCAAAGGGTTTTTTCAGCGTGTCCCCTTTTCAGACGATTTTAAGCGAGAAGATTTTTCAAACGGATAGGGTTAAGCAAGATTTAAAAAGGGAAATTTTGGGTAGGGTGGAATCCGGTCCAGCAATTTTTCTCCTGGAGTTTTTAAACCCAGCAAGGCAAAGTTATTAACTTGGGGAAAGACAAAGAAGACCGAAAACAGAGTACAGCCTAAGAGGTCAGAGGCTGTAAAACTCACTCAAAGAAAAGGATCTTGGGGTGAGTATAATATCGAGCACATCTCCTGAGGCATACCTCAAACCAAAAAACGCTGCAGCATACGAGCACCTAGCAAACCTGAGAAAAGCGTTTCAACATCTAAGGAGTCATTCAAGACACTACACCGTGTATGTCAGGCCCATACTGGAGTATGCAGCACCAGTTTGGAACCCACCTCTGGTCAAACGCGTCAAGACATTAGAGAAAGCGCGAAGGTTTGCAGCAAAACTAGGGGCTAAGGGGGATCTGTCCTACGAGAAGAGGTTAAGGGAACTCAACCTGTTAATACTGGAGGACAGGAGGGATAGGGATGACATGATAACGACATAAAATATACTGAGAGGAATTGACAAGGTGGATAGAAACAGAATGTTTCCGAGATGAAACACATCAACACGGAGTCACAACTGGAAGTTGAAAACTCAGATGAGTCACAGGGATGTTAGGTAGTTCTTCTATAGTCAGAGTTATCAGTAAGTGAAACAGTCTAGAGAGTGATGTAGTGGATGGAGGATCTATACATTGCTTTAAGAAAAGGTATGATAAAGCTCATGGGGGGGAGGGAGAA